GATTGAAGTACTCAAATCAGAATAAAATTCACTTAAAGCATCATTGAACATTCTGGTCCCTGCTTCCACAACTAGATACCTCTTCTGACACAATGACTTCAATGAAAAGAGTGCATAAGCAGACCCTTCAATAGAGTGGAAACCAGCTTATTCTTTGCAAGCTGTCAATTGGCTACAGAATCATTTTCAGCTTCTGGTCTTTCTGGTTTTAGAGACAAAGCTTTAGAAACAGTCGAGGACTGTTCCCAAATTAAGTCTAGAGAATAGCTAGTGTTAAATCTCTTCAAGACTGAGAAGTGAAGAAAACTGGATGTCTCCAATTTCTTTGGCAAGTTTTGTGCATTCTTGATACATAATCAATAAGTTATGCGTAATATGCAAAGAAGCATCCCCTCTCTCTATGGTCATGTGAAAAAAAAAGCCGTCCTTTGTATTAGAATTTTTGCTGTTAATACCAGACACTGAAATGCCTGGTCTTGTCTACTAACGTGTTTAAACATTCACACAAATCTCTGTAAACTACTCACTTGAACAAAGGTGACATTTAGTTCCATGTTGCACTTTAGACACCTACTTGCTGTTCTTAATAAAACCTTTAGTGTCTCCCGTTCCTTTGAAAAATTAGCATGACGGCACATTTATATCACCCGTATGAGATGAGAGAGATTTCAAAAATAAAATCAAATTAAGCAGTAAACACCTTCTGTAAAAATAAACATGTTAAATTTGTCCTTGCAGGCTGCAGCCTTTTAATTACTCTCCTCCCCTTCCTCATTTGATATAAGAGTAAACTTCACTGATTTTTCAACTGCAGATCCAATAACTTTCTTCTATTAAGTTTTGTCAAAACAATGTGTTAAGTCCATTCAGTTAAACTTTGAAGGGATGTTAATCTTGTTAACTCTAATGTTCTCACTGTCTGTGGAGATTCACAATCCTCTTCTGAGCCATTAACATGTTTGGTCTGAACATCAGCTTGTCTCCCTAATTTTACTGTTTAATTACACATAGGAAACACTATTTCCTCCAGTGGCTTTTAAACCTTAGAACCTATTAATTCAGGGAACGTTCTTGGGAATTCTCCTAACATTATAAAGGCACCACAATTATCTTTTAGACTTATTTTAATAGATTTGAGAAAAAAAGTCCATGAAGTTTTCTTGCCTTTTTATCCTTGTATAACATTTTTATTATTATTAAATATCAACAGTAATAAACTGTAATACTCAACTCCGCAAAAATACTGCTAGAGCATAAAAAGTCTGCTTTGAAAAAAGCAGAATGAAGTTCTTGATTATGGTAAAAAAATAATATTGCATAATACATACCAAAGCATTAAAAAAAAAAAAAAGAAAAACTTCATTAAATAAAAGTATCAACGTGAAATTTGTAAAACAAGCTAAAAACATATTAATGTCTTTTCAATTTGAAAAAGAATTAATCATTACACACCTTTGGTTGCCTCAAAGTACTAAGTCTCTGATACCAATTAAAATGGAGGAGAAAAAAACAAGTCTCTTGAGACTTGAAATAACAGTGAAAATATAGGTAGTCTATATATGGAGTAGAATAACTTGAACTACTAGTGAGACAACTTACTTCCAGAAAGGGAGAAAAGATTTAAAGCCAGGAATACTTTCAAATATTTTGCTCTGTCACAAGGCTTTAAAAGTTGAAGAAACTAAGCAAACTATGAAAGACCTATCTTGCTACAGGTTTATCAGAAAGTAAAAAAATTCATTAAAAGATCCTCCTCCTTCATAGAACAAGAACACATCAATTATCATATGTATTCTGACAGTAAATACTTCATCTTCCGGATGCTAGATTAGGTCACAGTATTTTATTAAGGTATTCTGCCAAAATTTGATAAATATTTTTTCAAACATGACTGAATAAAAGTCTGTATTATCCAGAAGCATTTATTGAGGTTTTTTGGTAAACTTTCCTTATAGGTCAAAACAACTTTTTTCACCTTTTCAGTAAAAGAGTTCAACGTTACTGCTTTAATCAGTCTGATACTTTCAAACTTTTTTCTTCATGCATGCCACTTCAAAAACAGAACATTAATGTTATATTCTGAATTTTCATGTAGTACTTAATCCCCAAGAATTTTAAAGATATCTTCATGTCAATGCGCGCAGCATGAGGAATAAGCAAGAGGAGTTAGAAAGAGGGTGCGTGCCTGTCGTGATATGTTCTTTTTGGCATCACGGAGACGTGGTGGGATGAATCCTATGACTGGAGTGTCACAATAGACGGGTACAGGCTCTTTAGGAAGGATAGGAAAGGAAGAAGAGGAGGAGGAGTTGCCCTCTATGTCAAAGACCAGCTAGAGTGCATGGAGCTGCACCTGGGGACGAATGAGGTCCCGACTGAGAGCTTATGGATCAGGATTAAAGGGAGAGCAGGGACAGGAGACGTAGTAGTCGGGGTCTGCTACAGACCACCTGACCAGGAGGACTGGGTGGATGAGGCCCTCTACAGACAGATAGGAGCTGCCTCACGTTCACGAGCTCTGGTCCTCATGGGGAACTTGAACCATCCTGATATCTGTTGGAAGGACAACACAGCAAGGCATAGGCAATCCAGGCGGTTCCTGGAATGCAGGGATGATAACTTCCTTCTCCAAGCGGCAGAGGAACCAACGAGGAGACACGCTACGCTGAACCTTGTTCTCACCAACAATGACGGACTGGTGGGGAACGTGACGCTCAAGGACAGCCTTGGCTGCAGAGATCATGAAATGGTAGAATTCAAGATTCTTAGAGAAGCAAGGAGGGTGCATAGCAGGCTCACTACCCTGGACTTCAGGAGAGCAGACTTTGGTCTCTTCAGGGATCTCCTTGTTAGAGTACCATGGGACGAGGCCCTGGAGGGAAGAGGGGCACAAGAAAGTTGGTTAATATTCAAGGATCACCTCCTCCAAGCTCAGGAGCGGTGCATCCCAACAAAGAGGAAGTCAGATAGGAACACCAGGAGGCCCGCATGGATGAACAAGGAGCTCCTGGACCAACTCGGACACAAATAGAAGGCCTATAGGGGGTGGAAGCAAGGACAGGTAGCCTTGGAAGAATACAGAAAGATTGTCCGAGCAACCAGAGATCAGGTTAGGAAAGCTAAAGCCCTGATAGAGTTAAATCTGGCCAAGGACATCAAGGGCAACAAGAAAAACTTCTGCAGATATGTCAGTGATAAAAAGAGATCTAGGGAAGATGTAGGCCCTCTCTGGAAGGAAATAGGGGACCTGGCTACCCGGGATATGGAGAAGGCTGAGATTCTCAATGACTTCTTTGCCTCAGTCTTCACTGGCAAGAGCTCCAATGGCACAGCCCAAGTCACAGAAGGCAAAGGCAGGGACTGGGAGAATGAAGAACTACCCACTGTAGGAGATCAGGTCCAAGACCATCTTAAGAACCTGAAGGTGGACAAGTCCATGGGACCTGATGAGGTGCACCCGCGGGTCCTGAGGGAACTGGCAGATGAACTTGTTAAGGCACTATCCATCATATTTCAGAAGTCGTGGCAATCTGGTGAAGTTTCCAATGTCTGGAAGAGGGGAAACATAGCCCCCATCTTTAAAAAGGGGAAAAAAGAAGACCCAGGGAACTACAGGCCAGTCAGTCTCACCTCTGTGCCTGGCAAGGTCATGGAGCAGATCCTCCTGGCAACTATGCTAAGGCACATAGAAAATAAGGAGGGGATTGGTGACAGCCAACATGGCTTCGCTAAGGGCAAATCCTGCCTGACTAATTTGGTGGCCTTCTATGATGAGGTTACAGCATTGACGGATAGGGGAAGAGCAACTGACATCATCTACCTGGACTTATCCAAAGCCTTTGATACTGTCCCACATGACATCCTTATCTCTAAACTGGAAAGACATGGCTTTGATGGATGGACCACTTGGTGGATAAGGAATTGGCTGGATGGTCGCACTCAAAGAGTTGTGGTCAACGGTTCAATGTCCACGTGGAGGCCAGTGACGAGTGGTGTTCCTCAGGGGTCAGTACTGGGACCAGTGTTATTTAACACCTTTC